TGTAATTGTATGGAATACTTGATATTTGGTGGAATAATACATTTATTTTACACAGAAGAGTTATTATTTATTGAGTTCTAATATATCATCGCCCAGAGAACCACGAAGCGTTACACTGGTGGCAGCGGTGGGATACAATTCCTATGTGGATTATTGTATTCCTAGAACAATCTACGTTGTGAGTTCTTCAAAGTCTTTTGTTTTTGGGACAACGGTGAACATTTGTGGAAAATGTTTCAAAACAGACTAATCAGTGTGTGGATAAAGAACCAACTATCAACTCTCCGACCGCATGCTCGACTCCGATGAAGGATCAGATGGATTCAAAGGATAAGAAGCCATGTGCTTCAACTAGTGATTCCGGAATCAGCCAGGTATTCTTTCCGCCTAATTTTGACAGCGATGTCAAATACCTTGTCTCCATTTGGAGTGAAAAGGACAGTGTTTCCGTTTTTACAAACAAACCAAAGAGAAGATGGATAAAGTTTCTAGTATTTCTGGATAGCAGTCGTTCTGGTGGCCATAATATTTCAGCATTATAGAAGTGGAATTCTGAAAAATACGTACATATGTTTTGGAAACGGTTATATTTTCTATCGATGAATATTTGCCGTATCTAGTGCTCGTGTGTATTTTCTGGTTTCGTCTGTGTTGTTTTTCTGTTTTGACTATGCCTCCCAGCGTTCGAGTAGAACAACTGGACAATCATCTTGTACAGTACACCAAGAAGTACCAAGTGTTGGACCTCTAATGTGCACAACTTTGTAAGAAGTGGGCAGTATACTGCAAAGCCCCGATCCCGTGATTTTCCGTGTCGTAGAACATTCAGTGGAACTGGAAGTGATGTGTGGCACGATTTTAGAAGGTACTTCGATAATTTGACCATTATGAATAACTGGTCCAAAGAAGAGTCAAGGAGAACTTTTCTGTGTTCTTTGCGTGGTCAGCGGAAGCATTCGCATACGGATTACCGTCAAGCGTGCAAAGTGATTTTGATTTGCTGTTCTCAAGGATGGAACAGAGATTTGGCATAGTAAATATGAAAGAAAGTTATATAGCTGATGCTAGATTAAGAAGAAAGCAGAAAAATGAGACATACAGAGAATTTGGCCAATCTATTGAGGATCTTCTTAGAAAAGCTTATCCAGATTGCTTAGGAATAATTGGAGAACTGTCGTTGAGTACTTTTCTTGAAAACTGTCATGATTCAGCTGACTTTAGGTTGTCTGTGAAAAGAACTAGACCAAAAACCTTGCAGGATGCGATAACAGCTGCAATACAAGAAGAGTGTTTAAGACAAACGTAACGTGAAAAACATAGAATTGACTACAAGAGTGGGTGCGTCTTTCACCTAGAGCGTTATAAACGAGCGGCCAAGACATGGAAACTTGACTTGTAATAGCTGGAGTTCAAACAGACGCCAGGTAGAATACTCGAATCAGAAGGATCAAAAGGAATCTCTTAGTCAGCAGGATTCCAAGAATGTATCGGGAAACTAGGATCGACCGCCTCGGGAGGTCAGAGAACGGTCGATATCAATGTTAAGGAAAGACCTCAACAGAGTGAAGTTACTGAAAACAATAAGAATTTTGTAAGTGTAAGAATAAAGAAGGATATGAACGTCTCAGGAAAAAATTCTAACCAGCAAGTGAACTGGAAAATTGATACAGGTGCAAAACGAACATATATTTTTTACCTTAGATACATTTAAAAGCATTCAGTACCGGTATAGGCCTGAACGTAAGTCAACAAAGTGCAGTTTTAAGGCAGCGAATGGTAATAAGGTTTTCTGTGATGGAGTTGATTTCGTTGTGCTTAACTTTAAAGAAACAGAGTGGGACTTATTCTTGGGGTACATCGTGATAGCATATAATAGCTCAGTGCATGAAAGTACAGGTTATAGCCCATTTCGAATTGTTTATGGAAAAGAGATGTCGCTTCCAATAAATGTTCAGACCAGAAGTGAATTTAATGAGAGTAGGGGGCCTACTGGAGAACGACACAACAACATTCCAACTTTCGTTAAAAATCTTCAAGAGAAATTGATTAAAATACACAGTCTTGTGCGAGACAATTTGTCGAAGTCCGTAGAAAGACAAAAGAAATATTACGATTGTCGCATGAAGATACATCAATATGAGGTCGGTGATTTTGTTATGAGAAATCAGAAAAAGACGGTTTCAAGAGTTAAATCAAAAATCGTACGCCATTGGACAGGGCCATGGATTATTATAAAAAAACTATGTGATGTGTTGTTCAAAATTCGACATTCAGAATCATCTTTACCTGTTATAGTTCATGGAGATAATCTTAAGAAGTTGCATGGGAGTTCAAGCAATAACGTACAAAAAGAACAGAATATTTCAACGGACATTCAACAGCCGAACCTGCAAGAATTCTTATCGAATAATGCAGAAATACACACAATAAATTCTGTAGCAAATAAAGCTGGAAGTTCAATTAGTAATAAAACTTTAAATAAAGACTACAGAATGAATAAAAATCAATTAAACATAAACGCACGTCGTACGGACGGACAAACGGAAAACGTTAACAGACAGAGCATAACGGACCAAACGGATCAGTCTATTCAATCGGATCCGTTGGATCAGTCGGTGCAAATGAACAAAACGGATCAATCGGACCAATTACCTGAGGTGGAACGAGCACGAATTTCCCGTGCAGGAAAAAGGCGCGAAAACAATTTAACAAGTGCACATGTTAGTAGCTCTGAAGATTTTATTCGAAGTAGACGTGTAATTAAAATTTAAAAAACCTGCTTATCTAAAAGATTTTGTTGATTTTATCAATATGGGTTATTGTTGTGACACTTGTGGAAAGAGTTTTAGCAGTAAGAGTAATCTAAAAAGACACATAAAAGAGAAACACATACCTGAACAGAAATATTATGTGTGTACGGAAAAGAAGTGTGACGGATTATTTATCAGGATGTCATACTTGAGAAATCATTTTGAACGGAAACATGGACTAAATGCTTCGAGATCAAAACGTAGAAGTGCTTGTGCTCAGAAAATGACCAAAAAGGAATGGAGTGAATCTTATTACAGTGACATAAGCTCAGACGAGAGTTTCTTTGAAAGCTTAGTAGGACAGAAGCCAGATTATGATCCTGTTAATCAGCAGCAACAAGATTCTTCTTATAATGAACAAGTGATGAGCACCAGTAATCAACTAGATGGGAACACTGCTACATCTCAATATAAGTTAATCACAGCCACGGAATCTAAGTGTGTTGACGGAAGTGTGGAGTCAATTCCAGATCTTAGTGATTACTTAAAAGCTCTAGAAGATCTTGACGGACATACTGAAGTTAGCATTCCAGAACCCGATGTTACAGTGCAAAATTATTTCGAGCAAATTGCACAGTGTGTTGATGAAACACAAAGTGTAGCAAGTGGAGGAACATGTGTACAAGATGAAAACTGTGACATTAATTTACAGGATGAAGAATGTGACGTCATTACAGAAGATAGAAATGATGACATAAACAAAGAATGTGAAGGTGAAAATTGTGACGTAAACAACAATAATACATATGCAAACAATAAAAATGAGGCTGAACTATCGAATCAAGACAATGTAGATGATAGCGGTATCGTGAACGATGACGTCATATATGATGATATCAGCAACCCAAACGATGATGACGTCATTACTATTGATGACGAGGATGCTAATACTCAAGAGGAATATATTGTCTCAGCTATCAACTTGACATTGCAGCGCACAATAAAGCTTGTAAATGGAACACCTACAGAGATAAAAACGTACAGCTTCAATTGGATATAGCGAGCACATTGATTTAGAGGAAGTGACACCATGGAGATTATTTGAACTTTTTCAAGAAGAATTCAAAGAATATGCTACACAGTATCATGATAAAAATTAACTGACAGATGTAAACTTTAAATGTGAAAATTAACAAGTGTTACGATACATCTATTTGTTAACAGCATTTTTCTCATAAGAAATGAGCTTCTTTTGTTTGTGTTTAATCATGTTAATATTGAATATTTTCAATTAATTTCGCAATAAAAACCATGAATATGTGTTAGTGTAAAAATATGAACAGTGGAAGTTCAGACTCTCAAGAAGGGGGCAGTGTGACGAATTTTGATTGGACATATAGACTTTTTAGGACTATATAGATTTACAGGAAGTAAAGGTTGGACTAAGAGGAATAGCTTTTACCTATATAAAGAGATGTTATGGTCAGTGTTAGTGGTTGTGTGTTTGAGTTCATTCAGTTAAGATGTTATTTTGGTTTGTTGTAATTGTATGGAATACTTGATATTTGGTGGAATAATACATTTATTTTACAAAGAAGAGTTATTATTTATTGAGTTCTAATATATCATCGCCCAGAGAACCACGAAGCGTTACATTTTGTTATTTACATTACATGTCTGCAAAATTCAAACAATATCATGTACACAAAATACTGGTTTACTTCATATTGACCCATTATATCATATTTTGTTCATTACTTAACATGTCTGCATAATTCAAACTATATTATGTACACAAAATACTAATTTAGTCCATATTTACCAATCATTTCATATTTCTTCACTTGTCTGCAAAATTCAATCTATATAACCTGCTGATTGAAGTGGCAGTGCGGGGGAGTGGTTAACATGTCGAAATAGTAATCTAAGGATCTCTTACTGCACGATTGTAAACCCTCTCAGGGACAAGCCGTTCTTTCTTTGACCAAGAAACCAAATACACTGATTGCTTAGTACTGGTTGGTTCATGAAACTGATTTTAGAATGTGTTTATTAGTATATAGCTTTCTTCAAATCCGAACTAAAATGAATATAATAATTAATTACATTAATTTTTCAAATAGGCAAAATTTGTTTTAGACTTAAAAAAGCGCTTTGAAATTATGAGAAGTCTCTCTATCTGGTGTATTTTCTTTCAATAGAAAAAAGACAACATTTAGTACCGTGAAGCCAAAAACCGCAGAACGGGTCGATACGTAATTTAGTCAAGATTAAAGGGAAATCACTCAAGAAAAAAAATTGACAAGATGGCAGGAGTCGATTATGAGAGTGTTTTGTGTGTTAAATCAACTGTACATGTGTTTAGAATTCCACCAAGACCATCAAACAGAGGCTATAGGTATAACACAACATATATTTAGAATTAAAACAAATTTATTGTCTGCACTGTTTCAGCATTCCAAGTTTTTCTGAAAGTCTTGGAACGGAAGGGGCGGATTCTAAGAGATGTTTTTAAATGTTTGTATTCGTACAATTTTTATTTAGGTAAAATACTTATTCATATTTCAATTAAATTATTTAATAAATGGCCTTACTGAAGGAAGAATGGTGTTTGAGAAAGTCATCAAAACCCTTGTGATTCGAGTGTTGTGGGTATAGAACTAGAGATTGGTGCAAGCCTATAAATTATATTTCGCCTGATATCTACATCATACTTTTTCAAAATTGTTTACGATTACACTAAGCAAGTATACATTTAGTTGAATACACCCATTGACAGTCTCTTTATGAACAACCTAAATAACCGTGGTATTGACCTTTTCGAAAACCTAGCTAAACACCGTTTTCCGGTACGTTACCGTTTTAGCTCTGGGGAATTACACCAAATGAAGTACATAACACAGTTACGAGATATGTCTATTTTTCTATCATTATTTAAACGTTTAAGGTGAAAAAAATTGATGTTTTTGAAAATTATCAATATTCGTTTAATATCTATTGCAAATTATTCAAAAAAATAAATTGTTCATAATGAAAATCAATAAAATTCAAACCAACGTAGTGGAATCTTACATAATAAATAAGGTTATTTTCTGCGTAAACTTGTGTATTTACTTATTTTTTGTATGGAATTATTCATAAAATGATATTTAATAATTTTCATATAAAGAAATAAGTGTTTTATTTCAGTTTAATTTAGAATAAAGGCCGAAAACTTTGAGTTCGCTATTACACTCCATTAGGTGAATTCCCCAGAGCTATGTACAGAAAGTCCCGGAAAACGGCGTTTAGCTAGGTTTTCGAATTCGTGAATATCGAGTGACAAAATGAGTTGTTTCCCTTATCTTCAAGTAAAATCGCTATCTCTAAATTATCCTAAAAGTAAAACTATACAAATTAAGCCATTTTTAAACCGCTACTTTGAGGCGATTGATTTAATGATTTTAAAATTTATAACATCAATGGAAAGCTTGTGATCTTAGCTTCGTCTCAGTATATATTTCAACATATCCTTTGACACTAAAGCCAGTAAAGGTATTTAAATTTACGGTTAAACCTACCACAAGTCAGACCATTTTACATACGATTTATACAGTGAGATACACAACCGGTTATCTTTTTTCGCAATTTTGCTGGTAAGAATACCCTGTCGTCTGCTAGTTCGTAAACTGTCAATCTGTGTATTGAGAGACAAAGATACAAGTGAATCCGGGAACCAATCCCTAGCTCTTATTGAATAGACCCCTTGGTTCTTTTACATACCCAGTAAATAGCACTGATACATGTGAGGATTACCTGGATTTCTTACCAGTACACCTCTAGATAGGTGGGAAACAAGACTCAGAGTCACATGTGTTTAGTTAAAGAACATCAAAATGCATGTAATAAGGTCGTATAGTTTTATTAATAATTCCATTTCAATCAAATTTATTAAGATTCGTCATAAAAGAACTATTTAAGACATTGATTTATAATATAATAGTGACAAGTGGATCAAAAGTAGGGGACGACTTAACCATATTAGGGACGAGTTGACTCTTTGAGGACAAGTGACTAAAAGTAGGGGACGAGTTGACCAAAAAGGTGACGAGTTGACCACGAGACGAGTTGACCACGAGACAAGTTGACCGGATCTTGAAAATCCCTTGAGGGTTTTACCCAGGATTGAACAAGGGACCTCAGGAGTGATAGTCAGTGGTCTAACCAAGTGAGCTATTGCACCACCATAGGTGTCATTTCATGCCAGATAATTAACAAGTTGACCCACTTAAAATAATTATGAGAAACAGTAACACAGCTATCGTAATGAAGACAAACATCAACCTAACTGTGAACTCACTGCCACGGAAAATTTATATAAATCTGTTGTATTGTTGTTTTTTTTTTCTAATTAACTAATATTGAACATCAGTGAATAAAGGTCCCGATTATGAAATCCATTCTTGTTATGTTATTATACTATTTTCAGTGTTGCATCTAAGCTTCATGATTTGCACATTTGTTTGCAGATCACGCATTTTAATGAAGTCAGTGCGTGCCAAGTCGCGCATCAGATGATCTTTTCAACTTAGTTCAGTTAATCTTCATCATATATGGAAGGCTTCTGCCATGTTTGTAATAATGACTAATATACATACTAAATCGCGTGTAGCAGTCAGCAGGGTTATCTTCCTTGTGTTTTCACAGTTTAATCTGTGCACTTTACTACTAGTATTCATCAATATTTTAATTTTTTCTATTTCCAATGATGAGCAGATGCTTGCTGTCAAAAATGCCAAAACATAAAATAAATAAATTCTTTTCGGTAATTTAGTCAACATCTGAAAAGAATACTAGTTAAATGAACCATCCACATCTAAACAAGCTGATTCACATGAAAATGAGACCCACGTTGACTCAACTACCGCTACGAAGCCCAAGGAAAATTTCAAAATAACGACTGGCTGTGAGCAAACAGTGCAAACTTTTAACCATGATCAGATGACAAGGTTCTTGGTGTGCACTGGTCACATAGGTTTACATGTAAGTATCAGTTGCTGGTAGCAGGTTAAGGGTTAAAAGGATTGATTTCATCAATAATGCAATTTTGGCATAACGTTATATTGTATGTGGAAACATTGATGTGACCTGTTTACATTTGATTTTATGTATACAATTTTACAATGCTATATACAGTCAGGTTGAAAAAAGAGTAGTTAAGAAAAATGTTTCTATATTTTCAGAGCATCAGATTGGAAGCTTGACCAACCTGACTGGACTGGAAGACTTAGAATTGTAGCGAAAGGAAAAGATCTGTCCATCAAATTAGAAGATAAAAATACAGGTTATTTTTTATATATAAAAAAAACTAAAAATCATTACTGAAATATACTGAAACACATTTGGGTATAAGTCAAAATGCTTTGGCATCTTGGTATATATGTGATTTTTCTCCAAAAATGATGAGTTTCATACTGTGTATGTACACTAGGGAGACTTTTTTGGAATCAATATTTAATAAACCTTAACTTTTATGACAATATGTTTGATACAGTAGTTTTGCATTGTCATCTCAAAGTTAAAAGAATGTGGTGAGTTCAGAATGGGAAGTGTAATACTAGAAAGAGATATAGTCTGAAAGACAGAAATTTGTGGTGCAAGTTTAGTTTTCATCTGAACAATTTATTTATAGAAAAAATACAAGTGCTATATTTAGCAAGACCTCATTCACATATGAATTATAGTTGATTTTTAATAAGAAATTGAAGTGGTTGTAGGGCCTTTAAGTGAATTGTACTAGGTAATTGGAGTTAGACCATTAAAGCCAATAATTACAAGAGATCTAATGAAGTTTTGAGGTAAATTTGATGTTCCACTTTGAATTAATACTTTAACATGACTTGTACAACATATTTTGTATTTAATCTCTGCTTAAGGTTGCCTTGATATTAAAACTGTCCAGTCAATAAGATTTTCTTTGTTTCCCTGTATTTAATCCTTTGAATTTATTTTATGTACTTTATGTGTAAATGTAAAGATTACAAATGGATATTGTTTAAACTAAAATTTTCTGTTTCAGACAAGTTCATCGTTGACCTGATTTGTTAATGGGTTTTGAAAAACGAGAGGTTTCAAATACAAATTCAGACATTTGAAATTTAGAGAAATGACAATAAGAATTCTAAATTTGTTTTTCAGTTCTTCTAATGTGTAGAATTCTTTCTCTTATTTAATTACATTTGTAACTTGTTACATAATACAATAGAAATTAGGCACCATTTTTTCTGGTAAAGCTAGTCAATAAAACTGTGCCATTTTCATAGTTTGACAGACATCTTAATATTAGCTATTTGATCATTGATACCTTAAGTGGTAAATAGTATCACATTGAAATATTAGCTATTATCCTGATTGGTCAGTAGTATCACATTACCATTCTGGACCATTTCGACCATTATCTCATGGTCCAATCAGCTAGGTGGTAAATTTTGCGGAGTGACACTCTAAGAAGTTATAAAAATATTACAGCAATATTTTAGCCAAATAATGTAGCCCTCATTAGAACAGAGGTAATTTGTTTAAAGTTTGACATTACAATGTAAAATCATGTGTCATGTAACCAGGGAAAGTTTAACACTAACAACAATATTAAGGCTGTGTAACAACTTACTCATTAGCTAAGTGGACAGTTAATGCAATGTAAACTATGATGTTATAGAATACATGTATATAGAGCCATTCGAATACAGATTATCAGGACAATCTTTATAGTTACGTATCTGTTATTATATTTACAGGAGAATTGTTTGCACGATGCCCTGTAGAGACGTACCCAGGAATAGCTGTGGAATCAGTGATGGATTCCAGCCGTTATTTTGTTCTCCGCATCATGGATGATAATGGTAAATTCCGCTCATGTTATATAACTGATAGAACGTTATTTGTCTGACAGTCCATGCTTCATTACACAGTTGTCTATGTTGAGGGAAAATAAATTACTTGTAATGCTTGCCAGAGGGTTTTTGATTCATTAACGTTCTTTGCTTTAAGGGTTTTATTTTTCCACATTCAATTTTCTGTCTGACATTTCAATTTATTTCCTATTTACCAAAATCATACCAATTTATTTTTTTTTCTTCAAAAAGTGTTTAAAAAGTGTTTTAAGATTTAAAAAGTGATTAAAAAAGTTTTGTAATTTGTATAAGTTTTGTAATTTGTATCTGCTTATATTAATTTGTCAACAAATATTTTCTAAATTAAATTAATTACACAGTCTATAAAACATTGTTTTTTTGCCAAAAAATCTTATAACACTATTAAATAACATTTCTATGTGTTATAAATTTTTCTATTTCTTCATGTTACTTACGTTTAAGCCCTGCTTTGTATTACAGGAAGATATGCATTTATCGGTCTGGGGTTCGAGGACCGAGGGGATTCATTTGATCTGAATGTAGCACTACAGGACCACTTTAAGTAAGTTATAGTAAAGTTATGGTTGTAGATGTGAAACACATAGTCTGTCACATCTAAGTAGTTGATGGTTTTACTCAGGTGCCTGTTCGTGCCTGGAATAATAAATATTGCACAGAAGGCTACCGGAGGTTTTCCTCTACCGGTGAAGCTGGAATGTTGCCATATGACCTATTCTGCATACCAAATAATAAATAAAGAAATAAAATTAAAAACAAACTAAAAATTACATACTAATCACATGAGATAATGCCCCATCAAGTATACAGCCATTCAACTCAGGTTTCATATTATTTGTAAAATGATACTTAGGTGATTATTTTCCGGCAGTAAAACTGCAAAATTATAATGTACATGTATGGCATACTATTTCAAATGTTGTTCTGATAAACTCCAATTAATGTAATGACAGTATTTTAAATATCTCTACCAACTGTATTGCTGATATTTTGTTTTTATCAAACGAACCAATTGCTGACTTCCACAAATTATGCTTTAATTACAGTTAATGATAATTCAATAATATACCTGTAGGCAATTACATTATATGTGTTTTTCCTAGATATTCCGAGATAATTTACCAACAGGTGTCTGCATTCAAACACTCTTTTCACCTCCGTAATGTCCTCCATCCAAATTGCTGTGTACGAGTTGTTTTTAACTGCAACCAAGTGGTCAAATTTAATGACAAAACACGTCACGTCCCAAACTATTGTAAACAAATCTGTGAAAATTGCCAGAGAGCACTCTAACTGTACCCTGCTGTTTATGTCGGTTAAATGTAGAAAATAAAATAAGTGCTTCATTTTCTCGGTAAATTACCTATTAATATAATTAGATTTATTGTTCTGAATAAGTTAATGTGTCTTACAATTTGAACCAGATTATGTTACAAGGTGTGTAAAATACATTTATTGTGAGCTGTTATATGTTGTTGTTTTTTTTATTTCAGACATTTAAAACAAGAGAAAGATGCTGTCAAAGCTGAAGAAGAATTACAAAAGGGACCAAAATTAGATCTAGGCTTCAAAGAAGGACAGACTATTAGAATAAATATCTCCGTAAGTTTATACCTGTACCACTCTAGATATCCTAAAGGCACGTTAGGCCTCAGAAACCAATAACTTTCGACTCTTTTAGAAATGCAAAATATGAGTTTTATAACATTTGAATAACGATTTTAAATAATTATCACTTGAAGAAACTAGTGCTGAATGTGACATTATTTGAGCTGCGTCACAACAAAGCCATTGCGTTTGCGACCAGCATGGATCCAGACCAGCCTGCGCATCCGCGCAGTCTGATCAGGATCTATGCCTTTCGCTTACCATCTCTATTTCAAGTAGAGAAACTGATAGCGAACAGCATGGATCCTGATCAGACTGCGCAGAAGTGCAGGCTGGTCTGGATCCATGCTGGTCACAAACCCACTATGTTGGTTTTGTTGTGACACGGCTCATTTGTCAAAAAAGTATCAAAATGTAAACTAAGTAATAATTTGACTTCCATACAAAATACTAAATCACTATACATTTGTTGTAAATGTCCTTATTGCCATGAAGCAATAGAACCAAACAAAGGTTGAGGTATTTGTCTTATAAGTATCTTTTCGGAAACTATAAGGAGACACCAAAAATAAAAAGCTTTTGTAAAATATAAGAATAAAAGCTTTTTTTGGACATAATCAGACTTTAAAATTGAATAGTCCATCTTTCAATCTTGACAAGATCGTTTATCAGTTTTAGGGAAAATTTCAACATACATGCTGAAGCATCATTGTAACACTGATTTGAACTGGTTCAGAAAATTTAAGAATATTGTAAAACAGGTGTTTAAGGCCCACTTGGAAGACTGGGTAACCAAATGTGTAGCTTCAAAAGTTAAAGACTTTACTTTCTTACTTTACTTGCCAATATGGCTACTACATTGTTCTGTTGACATCATGAACATTTACACACTTTCATGTTGATTTGAAACATTAGTAAATTTTAAAACATTTCATATTTTGTCATTATTTAAAAGGTTTTCTTTATTATTATTCAATAGAGCTTATCCGACTGCTTTTAAAGCTGAGATCTGTACTTAAATTGTATACTTTTACAGACAAAGAAGAACACAGAAGAAAATGGATCAGCGAAAAAACCAAGACCAAAACCTTCAGGAGGAGGAGGTGGTTTAGGATTTTTACCTCCACCACCAGGGGGCGTAAAACTACCACCACCAGGTGGAGCCGGCTTGTCTTTAGGTAGTTCAGAATCTCATAAAACCCAACCCAAACCACAACAGACTGTTTCGAATAATCCACCGTCTTTTTCTAGTTCTAGTAACTCTTCTAAGCCAAATACTAGTTCTAATGTTGATCTTTTATTAGACCTTGGTATTGATGATTTTCCTAAAAGTCAAGGACAGTCTTCCGCGAACCAAGGTCAAGTTCGAGGATTTGATTCAGATTTTGATCTTCTGAGCGGTACAACAGATAATGTGCAACCCGCTGGAGGGGTTTCCGACCCTTGGGGTGAATTTACCAGTGCAAGGTATAATTGTAATGGTTTTATTGTAAATCAAACATGTATGGCAGTGGAAGACATAGTTTTGAGTCAATTAATGGGCAGAAGTTTTCAAAAATGTTATTTGAAAGTAATGACACTGTATGTATGGTATTAAATGTATGTCTGATGAAAATTTCCTGAGAATAGCTTGGATAGCTATAAGTTTATGACTTAGGTAAAGAGCTTATTTTTTCAAATACTTGGAAATTTGATATTTTGTAATACGACAAGCTAATAATTACAAGATTTAAAATTTGATACCGCGATTCCTTTATATCAAGATAATTAAGAAAATATGAACTGGGGAAAATTACTTTACATGCTTGAAGTACTTCAAGGATCAGACTTCATTATTTACGAAGCTGTAATAAAATGCCCATTTAGTTGACTACAAAATTTGTCTCTTCGCTGCATTATTTTTCACAACATTGGCTTCTCTGTAAAATCCAGACATTGTTGATAGAAACATATTTATATTCCGTAACAAGACGCGCACAATACTGCTCCAATTACTAATAGTTTATTGAAGCCCACAGTCTCAAATAAACACAAGACAAATGTCAAGTCTTTGCAGATATTGTTTTAATAATAGGCATGAGGGATTTGTCAACAGATAGTTTGACATTGAAAGATAAGTGAACTCTTTAGGGGGACAAGATCAGTTACAGTATTTTGTTTTGTTGTTGTTTGTAAAATTGTGATATTTATGGAACCATCACTATGTTTGGAGCTACAAGAAGTCATGTTGTTTATTAAGATTCATGCAAGGTGTATAGGTACACTTCATTTTTATACCACACTGACACATGCCATCTAAAAGCACATATGGGTCAGACAGTGGCATTTAGGGAGCATTTTTTTAAAGTAATGGTCGAGTCAAACTTTAGACAGGACATTTTTGATGACCTTTTTTATATCAAACAGAGAAAAATGTATTTCAAAATTCCAGATTCATTGTCTATTAAACTAAAAATAACGCTGAGCCACTTTTGAAATTTTGTAAGCATTCATGCAGTAGATTGATAGTTTCATAAACCTTGGGCATGATGATTTATCAAGGGATCTTAAATTTACCTAACTTATTAAAAGAATGTAAAAGTGTTCTAAAAGTATTGAAAAGGTTCTGTTGTACAATTGATTGGAGGGTATCTAACACTGTGCATGATTCTTACCTATTTATTTATATTTTGTTATTTATATATTTCATGTTTCTATTTTAGGGAAATAGTGAAAGGTATGCAAAATACAAACCCTGTTATTTACCTTCAAAACAGTCATACTTTGTCCCTGATGAAAAAAAACCCCAAAACAATCTATACAAATTTCCTCAATTTATAAACCAAAATATTGATTAGGCAACCTTAGAAACATTTTCCATAAATGTTTATAACCTTTTACCACTATTATAAACAGTTTATTCAGGAAATTTTGTTACAACGTGCCCACCCTGTGATTTTTAGCTCACCTGTCACAAAGTGACAGGGTGAGCTTTTGTGATCGCTTTTCGTCCGGCGTCCGTCCGTCGTCCGTCCGTCCGTCCGTAAACTTTTGCTTTAAATGACATCTCCTCATAAACCACTGAGCCAATTTCATCCAAACTTCACAGGAATGTTCCTTTGGTGGTCACCTTTAAAAATTGTTCAAAGAATTTAATTCCATACAGAACTCTGGTTGCCATGGCAACCGAAAGAAAAATCTTTAAATATCTTCTTTTAAACAACCCTAAGAGCTAGAGCTTAGATATTTGGCATGAAACATCTTCTAATGAGTGTCTACCAAGTTTGTTCAAATAAAAGCCCTGGGGTCAAAATTGGCCCCGCCCCAGGGGGTCATTGATTTTCCCTATATGCATATAGTAAAAACTTAAAAAATCTTCTTTTAAAGAACCCAAAGAGCTAGAGGTAAGATATTTGGCATGAAACATCTTCTAGTGAGTGTCTACCAAGTTTGTTCAAATAAAAGCCCTGGGGTCAAAATTGGCCCCGCCCCGGGGGGTCATTGATTTTCCCTATATGCATATAGTAAAAACTTAAAAAATCTTCTTTTAAAGAACTGTAAGAGCTAGAGGTAAGATATTTGGCATGAAACATCTTCTAGTGAATGTCTACCAAGTTTGTTCAAATAAAAACCCTGGGGTCAAAATTGGCCCCGCCCCAGGGGGGTCATTGATTTTCCCTATATGCATATAGTAAAAACTTAAAAAATCTTCTTTTAAAGAACCCAAAGAGCTAGAGCTAAGATATTTGGCATGAAACATCTTCTAGTGAGTGTCTACCAAGTTTGTTCAAATAAAAGCCCTGGGATCAAAATTGGCCCCGTCCCGGGGGGTCATTGATTTTCCCTATATGCATATAGTAAAAACTTAAAAAATCTTCTTTTAAAGAACTGTAAGAGCTAGAGCTAAGATATTTGGCATGAAACATCTTCTAGTGAATGTCTACCAAGTTTGTTCAAATAAAAACCCTGGGGTCAAAATTGGCCCCGCTTCAGGGGGTCATTGATTTTCCCTATATGCATTTAGTAAAAACTTAAAAAATCTCCTTTTAAAGAACCTTAAGAGCTAGAGCTTAGATATTTGGCATGAAACATCTTCTAGTGAATGTCTATCAAGTTTGTTGAAATAAAAGCCCTTGGGTCAAAATTGGCCCCGCCCCAGGGGGTCATTGATTTTCCCTATATGCATATAGTAAAAACTTAAAAAAATCTTCTTTTAAAGAACCCAAAGAGCTAGAGCTAAGATATTTAGCATGAAACATGTTCTAATGGGTGTCTACCAAATATGTTCAAATAAAAGCCCTGGGGTCAAAACTGGCCCGCCCCGGGGGTCATTGATTTTCCTTATATGTGTATAGCAGAAACTTAAAAATCTTCTTTGAAAAAACCCAAATAGCTAGAGTTTAGATATTAAGCATAAAACATCTTTAAGTAAATATCTACAAAGTTTGTTCAAATAAAAGCCCGGGGGTCAAAACTGGCCCTGCCCCAGGGGTGTCATTGTTTTTAACTATATGTGTATAGTAAAACTTAAAAAATCTTTTTTAAAAAACCCAATGAGCTAGAACTTAGATGTTTAGCATGAAACATCTTCTTATGGGTATCTACCAAGTTTGTTCAAATAAACAAATAAAAGCCCTTGGGTAAGAATTGGGGGGGGGGGGGGCTATATACAGGTGAGCAACCTCAGGGCCATCATGGCCCTCTTGTTATTAACCAGGTTTTCAATTTTGAAAATCCTGGTTATTAGATTGGGGTATGGCAGGCGGATGGGCGGCTGAGCGGATGGGCGTCAAACGAAATTGTGTCTGCTCTGTAACTCTTCAACCCTTTGAAGAATTTTGATGAAACTTCAGACAAATGTTTACCACATCAAGATGACGTGCAGAACGCATGTTCCGCATGGCTGGCTCCAAGGTCAAGGTCACAGTGACATTAACATTGAAAATCCTGTCCGCTCTGTAACTCTTCAACCCTTTGAAGAATTTTGATGAAACTTCAGACAAATGTTTACCACATCAAGATGACGTGCAGAACGCATGTTCCGCATGGCTGGCTCCAAGGTCAAGGTCACAGTGACATTAACATTGAAAATCCTGTTTACATGATTTTAACTTGATTTGGCAGTCAAAGGTCATATCATCTTTGGAGGTAATTTAAAAAAGATATGATATATTATTTCATGTCTACTTTGTAACTTGTTTTTCATTATACAGAATTATCAATATAATTATAGTGAACAAATTCTTCTGTGCTGAACTCGTCCTACATTTCTCAACGGATTTTGTTCAAACTTTCACAGAAGCTTTGTCATCAAGCACCCTGGCACATATTGTCGGGGTTTTGTGATTGGATAGTTTTTGACCTAATTATGGCCCTTTGTTTTTTTCCTTATACATAATATTATAGTGAACACTTCTTCAGTGGCAATTCCTCCTACATTATTCATGTTTTACATTGCACATAGTTACATTGTTTGTTGCTTGTATTTGTATTTCAAATACAACATATTTATCTACAATGGTGATAATTGAAAACCTGGTTTCATGGCATTGCCATGTTTCTTGTATTATAATATTGTTTGCTCAACTATTTGAAGCATAAGGAGAGCTATTGTACTTAAGTCTGTGTTGGCATCACACTTTGGTTAAGTTTTTGTGCTTAAGTTTGTGTATTCAAAACTACTGAAGGAAATAGGTTGAAATGTCACACATAATATTTGGTCACTGATCAAGGCCCATAACTCTTAAATGGATTTTGACAGAAGTATGGCTCTTTTTCAATTTAGAAAATTCTTCATTATCCAGGCGCTTGATTTACTATCAAGCACTCAGAATTGTTGAGCATGATATCTGACTGACTGCTCTTGTTATCAAGTTTGTTAAGTTTTTCTTAACATGGAAACCAATGTTTTATATATTTTCCTTATCCTAACTGAATTTGGATTAGTTTGTCATTAATGAAGATGTCTCCAACCTTGCTATAATGGGCTAGCCATGCATTTAATTTTGTTCAGTCCATTACAAATTTAAGGGATTCGTGTATGAAAATTCTACTAAACTACTAAAAAACTTGATTAGCAACCAGACATCAAGACAGTAGATCAAGGTCAGAAATTTCACAGGTTTGCATCTTGGCATGGAGCATAAGGTATTGCTGGGTATAAGATATATTTTACTGTCAGTGTGACTTAAATTATATGTCACAACAACACTAGACTCAAAATAGACTATGCCAGAAATTTAGTTCTTCAATGCAAATTTATGGCACATATTCCATTGTAATCAGCAAAATAAATGCCCATATAAAACGTTATTCACTTCCTTCATGCTTCCCCCCCCCCCTGCTTCATTAAAGTCATAAAAATGTATTTTAACACATTGTTAGCATTAAACCAGAAGCACTCCAGTCCTTGTTTTGTCTTTTGACTTTAAAAACAATGTTCACTGTTCAAGGGAGATAATATTCCACGTATAGATATGTAATTTTGTAAGAGTTATGCCAACATCATGATAGTATAGTGACAGTTACTTATTTTATATATTAGAAAGCTTGAGCAGATGAATATTGGAAAGGTAAGTGATATAATTGTGAAAGTCAAGGTGAATTATCTCCCCTTTGTTACCATCTTGGTGTCATTCACCATAGCATAGTATAAACTTGTTTAGTTTATAAATTATATAAGCCTGATGGGTAAAAGAAACACTATGGACTATAAAGATACCTTTGTATGTATTTGAAAATTTTTTTTTACAAAACCAGACTTAAACAAAAATGAAGCCATTAAAATACCAAATTTAGTTCAACATTAAAAATATAAAGAAAAAAGGAAATACAGATTTTTTTTATTTAATAGTTTTAGAAATAGATAAATAATGTCGCATGATAAAACAATGGTGAAAATGACAGCATTCTTATATTTTTTATGACGGCATACTTATTAAATCAGTATATTGTTCATTTTCATCATTTAAAAGACCAAATACATTTAAAGTTTCAGTTAACAAAATCAGCATGTTAATGGATATTGTATACTTGGTGTATTGATTATGAAGACCTCTATTTTAAGTAAATTATTTTCTGTATATGAAGCTTGAATTTTAAAAGAATTTTAGTTTGAAAGCATGCTTAATTCAGTCAGCGCCTTAATTTTACACAATATTGTTTAAATAAAAACTGTAATTGTATTATTGTTTTGCATGATATTTTTGTATTGCTGTTAAGATACAGGTATTCCGTGTATAGTTAACCCAATTGAGCTTTTTGAATATTGATCAGTTCAGTGTCAAAATATTTTTGTTTCTAGTACATGTTACATATTGGATATATGATGTTTGAAAGAAAACTAGAGCTTTAAGATTCATATGATAGCAGCTTTTGTGTCAGAAATATAGATTAAACATTTTATCATACCAAAGACCATGACCATTGGGGGTTTCGGAATGGGTAAATGGTTAAACTCAGATATGCATGCCAAATTGTGTTTGCTTCATATCATAATTAGTACTTTAAGGTTATGGGTATAGGCAAAAGTTTCAAGCTGAACGAATGAGACAGGAATTGCTTTTTGGTAATTTATGTTTTCAAAAATATCTTGATGCATTTTGACCCTGTTCACACACCACTACAGAAGAATTCATACATATGTTTCTGCTACGTACAAAATGTAAATAATCTGAGATGGCCCCGCTGACAATATCAGCTGTGCTTTAAAATAAAGCTTCGTCACTTTATGTCATGTTTAAAGGGAATGGTGGAATAATTAAGAAGTCTGTTGGCAGTATAATGTGCCTGGATAAGTTATCATGTAAATGGATCTATTGCATTATTTTAGTGGTGTTACACCATGATACTTCTGTGAAGCATTGTGGGAAATTCTGTAATAGACAGACATATAGGCGGACATGCGGACATACAAAAACATCATTGTCTATGCTGAAAAAAGAAAACTGCATAAAGCTTACAAACAATATGCATTTTGTTTTACTACTTCCGTGACACTAGAAAAACATAATTATACAAAAGAATGAAACATCGCCTACTTTATTGTCTGCGGAAACAAACAATAAACAACATATTAAGAATACAAAAGAAAAGTGTCATTTGTTTTACTTTGTGTTTGTGGCATTAAGATACCATACATCATGGATTATTTAAAATACCATATCCATAATGTGCCATTAATGCTGGAGAGAATCAAATGTTGTATTGTTTGCGTGTCTATATCTCTTGTAATGTAATATCTTGTAATGCGATATTCCCATTTGTTACATTATTTAGTATCAATATAAAGAAGTATGATTTAAAAGCATGTCTGCTTTTGTAATATTTATGTGCAATGCTTTCAGGAAAATCTTATTGAGATTTATTTCAGAATAAAATTTATTTCGCGAAAGTTTTAAGTCTTTGTTATAGTAGGATAGTAAAATATGTCTGGGTTTGTTATATCATCTCCCATCATTTTGTATATCACGACATAAAGTTTGGTCATAAAATGCTTCCTGCTATTTTATTAGATGTACAAAAGTCATGACTTTGTGAAGTCATTGTCACTCTGAAAGTCATAAACCAACATCTGGGTATATGAACAGTCATGTATGGAATAAAACATAATTAATAAAGTCAAATATGAATAAAGGGGTGTCCATGGCCGAGTGTTACTGAGGTGGCTACAAGCTTCTGATCACTTGCAGCTAATACCACTGTCTGTTTGTTTATGATTTATAGTTATCTATTACATGAATATTGCTGGACATTTGGGTGTTTCTGTGGGCATTTCCTTCAACATTTTTAATGAACATCCAAAGAACTATTGTCACCAATTGCTCCGGTACATATTGTCAAGAGTTTTTCTGATTTAAACAGTTTAAGCCAAAAAAGGGATCTTCATTTTTTTCACATGCATACATATAAACATTTTAATGAATACAGAAAACTTGGTTTTGTTACAATTTTCTGATGATTGTTATTGCATGTTATTATTAAAGTAAAACTGGAAAGTCACCGTGTCAATGGTTTACAACCTTCCTATCCCCTAAACCATCATAATGTCATTATTATTTGTATTTATCTAATTTGAGCCGTGTCACGACAAAACCAACATAGTGGGTTTGCGACCAGCATGGATCCAGACCAGCCTGCGCATCCGCGTAGTCTGATCAGGATCCATGCTGTTTGCTATTAGTTTCTCCACTTGTAATAGAGTTGGGAAGCGAACAGCATGGATCCTGATCAGACTGCGCAGGCTGGTCTGCATCCATGCTGGTCACAAACGCAATATGTTGGTTTTGTCATGACGCGGCTCATTTATTAAATTCAAGAATATCTATGACATAACAGATATGATGATGAATTCAATTGTGACCTTGACCTTTGAATGACCTTGACTGTCGAGCTCAAATATTAAATTTTACTATGAAGTTATGATTCCTATGAGCTTTCTTTACTACAATAATTATGTATACTTGATGTGGTGTTTGACTTTAGAAATAAGAAAAAGTTGGGCGTGTCCCCAGGTAGGCGGTGGCTCTGGTAATGATTTTGTTTTTGTGTCTTTTTCAGTAATTCCAGTTCAACAGATCAAGGATGGGTGAACTTCTGACCAAAAAACATGTATATAGTCTCTTTTTGTGATAGAAACTTAGACATGTATATACTTCATCAAATCACCATGGAAACCAGGAAGTTGCTGATGGCAATAGAAGAATGGATTATGAAATAAAAAGTGGATATTTGAAAATTATGCATTACATTAAATGACACTGAATGAGGCATTATGTATCTTTGTTAAAGAAAATATTAAATTCAAGTTAATTTATTAAAAATAACTGTGTGCTTGACAATTTGAATATTTACAATAATAGTAATAACAGCAAAGTAACATCACAATAACAGCAGCAGCAGTTAACTTTCTCTTAAAGAAAATATTTTGGCCCTTGTGCTTAAATGACTGCCTGTTCATAATGTCTGC